AACCTGATCGATCCTATATATTTTCTTTATTCATGGCTTTGTCATTGGAAGAGTGTTTTGCCCCTTTTGCTTGAGAGACACATATGGCTACTTCCTTTTGAGCTTTGTGCTTCCGGCTAGTAAGTTATCTGTTCATCTTCTCATTATTCCAAGCCTTTGTGGCTTCTACTTTGGGGCTGCAAAACATCTTCCCTTTGTGTCCTAAGTGGGTACATTGAAAGCAAGCGAAGAGAGGAATAGTGGAAAGGTTTTGGGTCGATTACTTAGGTGTCGATTGGTTGGTGAACTGAGCCCGGAAATTGGTGATTGAAGCCCCAATATTTAACAAAATGTCGTCGAGATGAGAGCCTTCCGTATCACCCCACGAATCCCAATCCACCCATCACCTCATCTTAAAAGAGACATCCATGTTGATTTTAATACATCCGGTTTGGAGAGCCATTCACTTCATTTCTGCTGCAGAAGCAACGTGGTGTAGTCCAAATAGGAGGGCAGATTGTGCCTTGCAATATTCGTCCAGATTATAGACGCCGATTTTGACAGATACTAATGGATTACGTTTTTTTTTCATGTACAACGAATTCGATGGATACTAATGGATTCTGTTTATTCTTATCATGTACATTAATACTTTTCAAGAAATAAAATAGTTAGGTGATTATGTTTTTTTAAGATACAATTTCAATGTTTTGGTTTAGTTTTATGGATAATCCGGTTATATTTTAATTAAAGCAATAAATTTTTATCGTTCCGCATTTAACATAAAGAGAAGTCAGTCTTTGGTAACTCTCCAAGGTTTATGAAATTTTTGGGGTGTTACACGAATTTGAGTTTGGATCATAATTTTCCTTCTCAGCCACCCACAACTCCACCGCTTCCCATTTCAAGGTTCTCTACACAGGGACGGTTGCTAGAGTGGACGAAATTGCAGTTACCAATCCTCTGATTGGCACAGTTTGTGCGAAAGCTGCTACATTATCGTCCCATGTCATGGGTCCAACTCCCACCTGGGCACGTGCTGCATTGTGGGCATCAAGATAGTCTTTTTTTGGTGCTTTGGGCTTGAGATGAATATGATGACATTGTTAACCCAATGAAGAAAAGGTGAATGTGTATAAACCTAGCCATTTTTTTGCTTTTCTTTGCTTCAAGAAGGTATTACACCAGGTGATGCGAAATGTAGCAAAACATACGGGGCTATGTATAGCCACTAAAGCATGGAAATTTTTTTATTGAACAAAAGTTAATCCAACTTGAGAAATACCAATCGTGAATTTGGAAAAAATAAAACTAGAATAATATTTACTTGACATTTACGAGTTGCATATTTTTTCAAGTAAACACCGGTAATGACTTAAAAGAAGGGGCAAACCAAATGTAATCCAAGTATTAGGGAAGTGGTTTACGTAATTTCTCTTTTTAATTCAAGAGGGCAAAACCAAGATTCACTATTTGAGGAAGAAAGTACATGTTCTTGTTAATCATTGTGGGAGGTTTGAATTCCCACGAACCAGTCTATTATCTAACATTTTTTATTTTCTTCAATAAAAAAATGTATTTAAAACATGACTATTTTATAGTAATTAGAAAAAAAGAAGCTAGTCTAGTACTTTAATTATCACAGGGCGAAGCATGAGTACTTGGAATTACGCTTATTATTCCTTCTAACTATTTTTCAGTTTGTCATTTGTTTTTCGCAAAATTTTCTTCAAGCTAAAAGTCTTGAGACGTGGAAGATCAAGACAATGAATTCTTATTTGTCAAATAGCTCAAGTTTCCGATCCTAGATGCTAACAACCTCGTGTATCTCGTCTATTTATGAAAATTAGTCAATCGTATGCATGATTTCTGTAATGCAAAATATCACTCCATTACAATAATATCAACCCCTAGACTTATTCCCGGACTATGGTCTATCTTTTTTATTTGTTGGTGTATTTATGTTAAAACAACACGGACATGTTTAGTATATAGTACTGAAAAGTACTTGATGGTTTTTAATAAGAGAAATTTTGTTTATGATATTGTCGAGTCCAAATGCTTACGAAACATGCTTCTTCATGTCAAATTGAAAGAGACAAGAAAGCATATTCATGGTTGCTCATTACAGTATTTAACTATTTCTATATTATGAAAACAAATCGGTAACTAACGCTAGGAAATGGAAAGAACAAGAGTTTAATTCGAAACATGAACTTATAATGGACGAGGAAATAGAGTCAATCATATTTATGGACAATTGATTTCCCTACAAATATGGAGTAAATGATTGAAAACTGTACAACTGTTAGCAGGAGAAAATTTTAGTAAATAAATATTGTGGGTATACCTCATAATCATACCAAATAAATTTTTTAACAGATTTAGATAGTTAGATTAGCTTAAGTTAAGAGTTAAAATTATTTGTCAATATATTTGACATATAACTAGTGATGGCAAAAAAAAACCTGCCCTGCCCTGCCCTGTTCCGGCGCTGCCCCGTCCCGAATGGGGCAAAAAAACCCTCCCCAATGGGTTGGTGGGGTGGGGCGGAGAAGGGGTGCCCCGCCTCGAAGCGCCCCAAACCCGCTCCGTGAAGAATAAAAAAATAATTTGCTACAAACTAAAAACAAAAAATAGTAAATTGGAAGTTTTTGAAAAAAAATATATATATAAACCGGGCAGGAAAAGGGGCAAGCCTGCGCCCCGAACCCGCCCCGCCTAAAGTGGGGTAGGGTGCGGGGCGGGACAGGATCGGGGAGTGGCGGTGCAGGGTGGGGTGAGAGTGCCCTTCCCCAAACCCGCCCCGTTGCCATCTCTACATATAACTTGGTACAATGAACGGTCTCCATCATATTCAAATTCAATCATTATATATATCTTTAATAAAAATATGAATTTGCATGCCAAATTTTGCATGAGTATTCTCAATGAGTTCCCCAAAACTTTAACTAAACTTATAATAAAAAGAATAAAAACATTTTCTACGGCACATTCTTTAACCGCTCTGGTACAAACGCCCNAAAACTTCTTTAATGTCATTAAAAAATTAATTTTTGCCACAATCTTTCCTAATTTACCCATATTTAAGTTTTCAATATGTAAAACTAAATTATTGTTGGAACTAATAAAGAGTTTGAAGAAGAAAAAGAAATGAGATTGTTCCATATTTCCAAGAAGTGAGAAATGTGTGTATTTGGATGATTTCAAGAAGTTGGCATATTAAATAGGAAAAATTTAATATGTGTATATTAGTAAAGGAATACAACAAAATATTCTACATTAGGAAACATGCCTATGTATTTGGGCTTCAACTCTCAACCTAAAACACAATCAAACACAGTAATAAACCAGAAATTGAATAAAACTCAACACTCAATGGATTACTATGTAACCAAGTGTCGATTACAGTGAAAATTTAAGAGAAACTGAGAAGGTAGACTTGAAGAAGAAGAAAGGAAGAAGGTAAGAATAGAGAAGATGAAGATGAAGAAAATGGAAAACACGCACAGAACATTCACACTGTTCTGCCTCTTCTCGCCAGGTAATATAACAGCCAAAAACTTGTCTTTTCTTAATGCAACTTAATAAAACGTAAAATAGGAGTCGACAAAAACAAACGATGCTCCCTCTCTTTTGAGCTATATTGTTGCTTTCTTTTCTCTACAGCCTGTGTTACTCTATGTTTCTGGGATTCTTCTTCTTCCCCCAATTCAACTAAGTTCCCTTCTCTTCGTAACATCCATTCCCCTTAAAACAACCTTATCTCCAAGGTTGGAAGTCTGGAAATCTGGCTTGAATTTCTTCTGAACCCTCTCATGTAGCTTCCTTTGGGTTGGAATCTTCCCAGTGTATTAGCCATTGAGAACGAGCTCTACCCTTTTTATTGATTAACCTAGCAGAAAGGACCTACAATGGTTGCACGAGGTCTTCGACTCCTGTGTAATGTTTCGGAAGATCATATAGGCGAACCTCTTTCTCTCCAATCTTCTTCTTTAGTGACGAGACATGGAATGTAGGATGGATTTGGGACGCAGCAGGTAATTCCAGTTTATAGGCTACTTTCCCAACCTTCTGTACTACCTTGTAAGGGCCATAATACTTTGCAGATTACTTCTTGTTGGATCTCCTGGCTACAGTTTGCTGAGCATAGGATGCAGCTTTAAATATACCCAATCCCCAACTTCGAATTCCATTTCACTTCTATGTTGATTTGCATAATGCTTCATCCTGGCACTGGCTTGGGCAAGGTTCTCCCTTAGCATTTTATCGATCCTCTGCCTTTCTTGCAGAATATCTTCAACTGAAGCAATGTTAGTTTGCTGATAGGGTCCCAAGGCTAGTTATGGGGGTTTGATGCCATATAAGGCTTTGAAAGGTGTCATTCGAATAGAGGTATGCAGGGTAGTGTTGTACCACCATTCAGCTAGGCTAATCCACTTAATCCATTGTTTTGGTTGCTTTTAAACCATGCATCTTCTGTACATTTCAAGGCATTGGTTCAGTTTTTCTTTCTGCCCATCAGTTTGTGGGTGGTAGGCTGTTCTCAACTGCAATTTGACCCCCAAGTGTTTAAACAATGCCTGCCAAAACCCACTGGTAAATATCTTATCTCTGTCCGTAACAATGCTTTGAGGCATTCCATGCAACTTGTAGATGTTATCCAGGAATAACTTGGCGATGGTTGGGGCTATGAAAGGATGTGAGAAGGTTAAAAAATAAGTATATTTGGTGAACCTATCGACCACCACCAATATCACGTTCTTTGATCTAGAAGTAGGTAACCCTCAATGAAGTCCATCGAAATATGGCTCCAAGCATATTGTGGTATTGGTAGGGGTTGAAGTAATCCTGGGAAAGTTACATGCTCCCCTTTACACCTTTGGCACGTGTCACACTCTAACACCTCCTATTTAATGTCCCTGTCATTCCAGGCCAGAATAAGAATTGCTTAGTCCTGTGTATACTTGCTTGTAGTCTTGAGTGTCCTCATTCCTGGGATGAGTGAATGGCTGCAATCAGTTTCTTCCTCACTCCTCCCCCAGTACCAATATACATCCTTGACTCGTATTTAAGAAGTCCATTCCAAAAATGATAATCTGGCCCCGTGTCTTTATTGAGTAGCACAGCAGTGATTTTACCTTCTACTTCTTCATCTCCTTTATAGCTAGCTATTACTTCTTCAACCCCACATTGGAATGACCTCAGTGATTGCCAAGAATTCAGCCCCTTTTTCTTCTCTCCTGGACAAGGCATCTGCCACGTTGTTATCAACACCCTTCTTATAATGTATTTCATAACTCAAATCTAAGAGTTTAGATAGCCACTTCTGCTGTAATGGAGTAGCGATCATTTGCTTAAGTAAATACTTGAGTGACTGTCGATCTGTCTTAATGATAAAGCGGTGACCTTCTAAATAGTGCCTCCACTTTCCTACCTCAGTCACCAAAGCTAGCAGTTCTTTCTCATAAATTGATAACCCCAAATTCCTGTTGCTTATTCCCTTTCTTAGGTAGGCTATTGGCCTTTTATTCTGCATCAACATTACACCTAACCCCACCATAGCATACATCCGTTTCCACAATGAATGGGATGGAGAAATCTGGTAAAGCCAGTACTAGGGTAGTACTCATAACATCCTTTAATTCTTGGAAGGTTGATTCAACCGCCTTTCCCCAATGGAAATTCTCCCTTCTTTAGCAATTCAGTTAGTGGTTTGGCTATGGCTCCATATCCCCTTACGAACCTCCGGCAATACCTAGTTAAGCCAAGAAATCCCCTCAACTGTTTAACATTGGCTGGCTTAGGCCACTTGTGCATCGCCACTATCTTAGAGGGATCTGTTGACACTCCCTCTGCAGATATAATGTGGTCTAAGTATTCTATGCTAGATTGACCAAAAGAGCACTTGCTTCCTTTAGCATACAACTGGTGTTGTTTTAAAAGTTCCAAGACCACAGCAACATGTTTACAATGAGTCTTCAAGTCTGGGCTGTATACCAGTATATCGTCAAAAAATACCAAGATGAACTGCCTAAGATGCTACTTGAATACTTCGTTCATTGGGCATTGAAAAGTGGCAGGGGCATTTGTAAGCTCAAATGGCATGACCCTGAATTCATAAAGTCCCTCATGAGTTCTAAAAGCTGTCTTGTGGACATCTTCTTCAGCCACCCTGATTTGATGATATCCTGCTCTTAGGTCAATTTTTGTAAACAACTTTGTCCCTTTAAGTTCATCCAGCAATTCATCAATTATGGGCATAGGGTACTTGTTCTTGACTGTGAGGGTGTTCAACTGTCTATAATCAACACAAAATCTCCATGTCCCATCTTTCTTCTTGACCAATAACACAGGTGAGGCATAAGGGCTATTGCTTGGTTGTACTATCCCACTTTTTCTCATCTCCTTAAAAAAAACGTAAAATAGGAGTTGACAAAAACAAACGATGCTCCCGCCCTTTTGAGTTGTATGGTTGCTTTCTTTCCTCTACAGATTGCTACCTGTTTCTGGGATTCCTCTTCTTCTTGTTCTTCCCTCAATTCAGCTGAGTTCCCTTCTCTTCGTAACAGAAACTCAACCTATATAATTGGGATTGAGGGAGTAATAAAAAGAATAAAAACATTTTCTTTGGTTCATTCTTTAACCGCTTTGGTACTCACCCCCAATCCTAAAAATGAAAAAGAAAAAGGGGAGGGAGAGAGAGAGAGAGAGAGTTGTTCCGCACTTCCGCCAATATAGGAAGTTGAAAATGGTGGGTTGGGTTGGTCCCAAGCAAAAAAGGCATGAGCCTGTGGGCATTGCTTTTGTCAAGTTGAGTTCTCAATAGGGAAGAAGATGAAGACAGGTTGGGTAGGAAAAATAAAATTTTAAAAATTTGGGATTGTGGGTGACATATATAAAAATATTGGTCATAATTTGCAAAAAAATGGAAAGTTCTGATACTGAAATTATGATTATTCTTTTTTAATTTTGGTATTTTTGACAGTTTTTAACAATTAAACTAACTGAATTGAACAGTATGAGGTTTTTCGCATGAAAGGTTTCGAACACGACAATTTTTCGCATGAAATATATCACAATTGAAAACATATTTTTTTTTTTGCTATTAATCCTTTCAAAGAAACTATACTACATACACCTCCATAATAAGAATCAACAAATTAATAAGCATTGTCGAATTTGTATTCCATGTTACACAAATATAAATACAAATACAATTGCACGGAAATAAACAACTACAAGTTTCGGGGACTTCAATTCCATAAGAATGGAATGGGAATAAGACTGCAGTAGTAACTTTGACGTTTTGAGCTCACGTGTAATTGGAATGGAATGGCTCAAGCTGTAGTAACTTCGACGGTTTGAGCTCACGTGACCATTCATGCTGCAGAAATCAGCTTCCTTCCATAACTTACCCTTAAGTCAATAATGTTTATTCAGTTTGTTATCTCTTTTAAGTTGAACCTTCAATTTTTTACCACCTAATTGGCAGCCATTCATCATATTTATTGCATTCTGTGCAGCTGACGGGGAATCGTAGCTGACAAATCCTGTAGATATAATCTGATCAGAAGTACAAACATAAGCAGTAGTTAAATCAGATAAATGGTAATTTAAAGTCAGCATACCAAAACATTTGCTGACACCAGTTGCTCTGTCAACGAAAACCTTGGCACTCAAGATCCTACCAAATCGCTGAAAAGCGTTTGCAAGCTCTTCGTCACCAAATTCTTGAGGAATATGGTAAATAAATAAATTAGCTCCGGGTGGACCTGCTTTCCAAAAGATTATCCATGAATAAGAGTGTGCACACACACAATATATACATTTGTATGCACATACGCATGCAGAGACATGTTTTATGCCTATATTTACATAACAATAGCTGAACTACAGAAATATACTTGATTAAGATTTCCAACAACCTTCAACCTGACCCCCAGAACTTGTATTGACACTTGAAGATGCTGCAGATTGACTGTTTGCAGGAGGAGATATAGAACCAGGGGATACCGAGATAGGCCTGTTACTTGTGATTCCTCCATATGGCATGGGATATTGAATGCCCGGCAAAGCTTGGTAGGGAGATCCCAGAAAACTTGTAGGGGACATGGTATAATTTCTTGGGGCCATTCCAGATGAAAGATCAGGAGTGACACCACGCATAGCATTGCCTTGGTTTATAGGTGGAATTAGATTGTGAAAGGCATGTTGATTCTGCACCGGTGGTAGGCGATACTGCAAGAGCCCATAAGCCCCCGGAGTCTACAAAGGCGAGCAGAAATTGACATAAATGTACCTTCAGCATCAACTGCCAGTATTATAAAGAGAAGGGAATCCAGAAATGAAACAAAATACGAAGCATAAAGTTAGAATTCTAACAGAGAAAACACACATGGCAACATTCAAGGCTTTTTCCAAAATATACAAACCAACAAACCTGATACCCATATCCATTATACGGGGACATATAACCCATGGGTAAAGCACCAAATAAAGATGTATGCTGTCTTGAGTTAGCATTTGGCACACTAGACACTTGCGATAGAGCTTTCTGAGCCTTCCTAGCTTGCCTTTCCTTTTCTGTATCCGCCCACTTGACCACCAAAGGGACGGTTGAACCCTATTACAGAAGTTAATGATATTAGCGTTACGGAATTCACCAGCAGCCAATAATGCAAAATGGTTTCGATGCTAAATTCTGAACTACTATACACTGAGTACCAGCAAATACTAAGCCGACCTTATAGGCCATGTAATTTAGAAACAACGTATAGACCATCTGGATCAAATGACACCACAGGATGCCTCTGATTCCCCAAGTACAATCTAATTGAATCCAAACAACGCTTACATAAGAGAGTATGTGACCATTACGAGTACTGAATCAAAAAAGCACATAAACTAATCTAGAAAAATAAAAAATCATCCCCAATGATTATACAGAGTAACCACTTTTAAGACATGCTTTCAACCTTGTATGACATCAAGAGCATGTGCTATATCAAGTAGGTCTGGACAAAACTCCCGAACCGAACGGATATTTGAATCGAGAACCGATGGGTTTGATTTGGTTCTAGACCAAGAACCGAATTTAAATAATTTTTTTTTAATTTTTTATATTGAATTAATTAAATTATTTATTTTTTTCTAAACAAATTAGCAAATTAACTAATTTAGTGATTAATGCTCCAACTCCCAAGCCAAGTCCATGTCTAGCTAGCCCAACCCAACCCAATTTCGAAAATCAATTTTTTGTTTTAATTTTTGGCCCAATTATTAATTTCATTGTTAGCCCAAGATCTAGGCATTTTTAAGTTTTTATCATTCCCTTTCTATTTTCATACTTTCATTCAGTAAGCACGGGTCCACTAACCCCAAATCATTTGATAAATTAAAAACCTACATCTACATGCCCAAATTGAAGCAACCGACTGCCGAGTCCAACTTTCCCTCTCCAACTGCTCATCGAAGATACAAATGAACATGTCATTAGTTGTATTTATCTACTGCTGTAAATGTTAAAAAAATTAATTATGATACAGAACTGAACCCGAACGGTTCCATAATTATATTTGGACCCGATGGTTCCATTTATTAAATACCCAATTTTTTTGGTTCGGTTCGATTATGATGTCCAGCCCTAATATCAAGCAAACATTGAAGACAATTCCTATGCATTATTCACAAAACTGTTATCAGATGAGAGAGTCATGAAAACACTTGCACAACTTTAATATACATGTACACATTTGATTAGCATAGAGTAAGTCAGTGTCAAAATTCTCTACACTACAAGATTTCATACAAACAAACTGGTCAATTTAACACACCTCCATCTTATGCTTCCCATTAAGGGCTTCAATGGCCGCAAGCGCTTGTTCTTTCATTTCAAACTTCAGAAAAGCACAACCTACAAGAGGTTCTGTTAGATTATAACTTACTCATAATAAGAAAACAAGGCCACGTTGCTCTCTGTGTAATGCAAATATCAAGCCATAAAGAAGGGGGAAAGGTTGGGAAATGCACCAGTTACCTTTGCTTGTTTGCTGAGAACCTCTCAGAATTTGCAAGTCCTTTATGGTTCCATATTCCGAAAATAAAGCAGAGACCTCAGCATCGGATACATTTTTTGGAAGCATGCCAACAAAGAGTTTGTGCTCTGAATTTTTTGTTTAATGGAAAAAAAGAAAAGGATAAAACAGAACAAACAAAAGATATTAATCAAAAAAATCATGTAACGGCAAGACAGTATAAAACTTTTAGGGACAGAGATCTAGCTCCGCCTTTATTTACAGAACCATCACAAGGAAAACATGCAACACAATAATGAAAATTATATAAGACCTAGCCTTTCCAACTCGCCATCAGCGTACTTCACTTGCAACGGACTAGATGCCTGAATTAGACAAAAAGAACAGGTTGCTTTATATCAGAAAGAGAATAACAAACATCACAGTATAACAAAACACATCAGACATCCTATGCAGTTGAAATTTTCCCACAGGGTCAGTCTCTCAGTGCAAAAATTACATCCGTCCATGTAAATTGTGTTAAGCTATTTATATTCTTTTAACATGTGAAGTCCAGGGCAGAGCCAGATCAATTCCTCAGCTACATCCTATTTAAAGAGGGCCAACTTACAGCTGAATTCAATAGTAGTCTAGTTAATTGGAAAATTTGTTGGCAGCGAGTTCAAAGCTTCGAATATTAGGTAAAACTCCCAACTTTCATCAAAGGATAAAAAATTAAGCTACCAAGAAATGAGAGGAATCTTGAATGTCATGGTGTTCAGTGGTTTTTGTGGACTAATACTACCTAATTTCGTTCTTAATATCAGATTTAATTTATTGAAAATCTCCCATAAGTACCACTTTTATGTATATTGAGCACACATTAACTAGATGAATATAGTTTTCCAAAATAGCAGGTCCATCTCTTTGTCTTAGCATATGCATTTATTTACGTTGTAGCAAAGTAGGAATTCTCAAAAGAGCAGATTGGTTGACTCATTCAGCAATTTATTGCTGATGCACCCCAAAACATTCTCTCCAACAATTTCATTAATATGATAACATGTTTTCACTATTATTTTCACGAGTCCATAACTGCAAAGCTGACATGAAGTGGATACAGCAGCAGTTTTGACACTGTCTTGACTAGTTATATCTTGACAAGAGAAGGCATATACTAAAGAGCTATAGATTATCAGTTTCCAAGAACTTGTAGATTGCAACATTTTAGGGTGTGTATGGTTAGCTATTTTCAATTTTGCAAAACATTGAAAATGTGTTTGATCTAGTATTTTTGAAAATGTATTTTCGAAAACAAAGTTCAACTATAACATAAAACTCAAAACACATTTTTTACTGTTCTGAGTAAAAATTCTGAAAACACTCAAAACATGGAAATCAAACTTTTAAATAAAATTTTAAAAATTTTAAAGAATAAAAATATAGAATTCTAAAAAATAAAATTTTAAAATATACAAATTTTGAAAACTAGAATATAAAATTCTAAAGAACAAAAATTCTGAAAAAATATAATTTTCAAAATTTCTAGAAAAAAAATAGTTAAAGCTCTTAATGATTATTTACATAAAAAAATCTAAAAAAATATTTAAATGAGCAAAGATAAAAATATTCTCATTCAACGTCATTAATTTTTATTTTTATTTCTTATATTTTGAACTCAATTTATTATTTATTTTATTTTTGTAGCAAGAAAAAAAATTATAAGATTCACCAACTTTAAAATATATATATTACTGATAATATAACATAATTTTTTTCTATTTTTACTGGATAATCAAAATTCATGGAATAAAATGTCATAAAACAAATTTTCAAAATTTTAAACTAAACGTGTGTTTTTGTTTTCTGTTTTGAGAAATAATTTTTCAAAATGAAAAACCAAAAGCATATTTAGCAATATTAAAATAGACCCTCAAATAGAAACTGAAAATGAACTCAAAATTGAAAACTGAAACACAAACTAAAAAACCCTTAGCATTTCAAAAAAATTGAGTAAAGGGGACAACTATAGGTTTGCAAGTTGAAAATTCATTAACCCATTTCTTTTGGCTTTGTGATCATGCAATTTAAGCTAGCATAAACATTTTAGTTGTTCCTCTTTTACACTTCCAAAAAATTGTTTCGTCAAAATGATTGAAATCCCAAGTTATATTGACCACACACAAGGGAGGAGCAAGGAATGTAATTCCCGGGGGGCGTGATTTTATTTAAAATGAGATACTTTAAAATATGGTAATTACACAAGAATATTAAAAATGTTCAAATTTGTTTTCGATAGATTACAATTATTTCCTACAGGATTTCGGACTTTGAAAACTTTGTATAATGATCTCATTATCAACATCATAAAATATGTCTTTCTTAATACATATCAACCAAATTTTATTTCTTTCTTTCTTTTAATAAAATGAGAAACATCACCGACAAAAGAATGACCACCTGCTAGTTCCTCGTGAATTTGATTTAAAAAGACAATAACATAAGCAAATTTAGTTTGATATAGTACAAAGATGTCTTGCTAAAATAGGTTAAAAGAATATAATATAGTCATAAAAGATTCTGTTGCATTAGATCTTTTCATAAAGATGTCAATACATCAAAGAGTATTATAAAAATAGAAACACAATAATACTTAATTTATTAATGCATACAAAATTAAAATATGTATTACTGTAAAGGAAAAGGAAAGTACGTTTAGAACAAAAGTAAAAGAGGGTGATAGAGAACTAGATACAATGATAAATAGCAGCAAGAAGTTGTATAAAACAAAACTGGTGACACAATGCTATTCGTCATTTTTAGTGCTCGATTGCATCTTTTACTATAATATTTGTCCCTCATAAATCCAGAGGGATCAGGTGCCCCCACTGGACTCCATGAGCTCTGACAATGACTACATGTATCGAAAAACATTATAAAGCAGCAGACTTTAGAGAAGGAATAACAACTGCCCCCAATTGCATGCATGTGAATGTGTGGTTTTTCGACTCTTTCACCCTCGCAGAGCCACTTTAAGTATGAATTGGCTCCACTAAAAATAAATTGCTCACTTCATTCAGTCATTATATCCCGATATCACATGACACTAATAGTGTCCTTTCCTTAGACAATTACAGAGGCAGTCTAACAAGTTTAACTTGCTCAACATATAGGATTATGGTTAGCTCATAAGGAAAGTTCATTTTCCTTCTCACTTGTTTCTAAGGCCCTGTTTGATAGCCTAGAAAATGGGTGGAAAAAGAAAATGTCTTCCAACTTTAGCCAATTAAGGGTGTTTGATAGCACAAATTTGTCTGACTTTCGTTTTTCCCACATTTTTCTAGGTACAACCCTTTGATGCACATTTGCTTGATTTTGTTTTCCCAGCTATTAGGTGGGAAAACAATTTTCACCTTTTTTTTTAGCAATGGCAATAAATTCTATCATTCATTGTAAAAAGAATTTTCACTTTTATTGACAAATTCTATGCAAAACAAAGTCAAACGAATATTATTAGATATGGTAATTTTTTCTAATTTTAAAAAAAAAAATTACTTTTTGGTAATTGGAACAAATTTTAGACGCAATGGTAGAAAAAATTATCACTTTAATGGACAATTTCCATAAAAAATGAAATCAAACGGATACCAAACTTTCAACATTTTCCAGATGGAAAATTATACCAATCAAACACAATTAATTACAATTCCCAGTAAAACAATTTTTAGGTAATTCAATTCTCTGGAATTCATTTTCTTTCCAACAATTTTTCACATTTGCAATCAAATGGACCCTTAAAAATAAAGTCAAACGGACACCAAACTTTCAACATTTTCCAGGTGGAACATTATACCAATCAAACACAATTAATTACAATTCTCAATAAAACAATTTCTAGGCAATTCAATTCCCAGTAAAACATTTTCTTTCCACATTTGCAATCAAACGAACCCTAATTATAAAGTTTCAAACTCCCAATCAAATGTCTTACGTATTCCTCCCAGGTCAACTTTACTCCATAATTTTGTGACTAGACCCTAAAATTCTATTCAGCTCTCTATTTCCAATATACAGAAAATCTTCATCTCGCACCACAGAATCGGAGGAAATTGGAATCAAAATGAAATCAAATTTGACGAAATTCTTATTTCACCTATCATTTAACGCCACCAAGACACTGGGATTGTAACCCCATTAGGGCTACATAACATTACTCAAGATAATAATGCAAGGCCCTAGAACTAATTCAAAAAGTTTCAACTTCATTAAATACAACAGTTGTCAAAGTTTTTATAAAAGAGCAATTAGCTGTCTGAATCAGACATTTCTCACAGCACAAAATCTGCGAGTTACATTTAATTCATGTAAGCAATCTTTTTCCATTTTAAGCAATTACTAAATTCAACATTAATAAAAACACAATTAGGGTAAATACTAACCCCAGGAAGTGTCTTCTTGTTGTGACATGCATTCACTGCCTTGTCAGCTTCTTCCCTCGACGGACAAATCACAAAACAACATCCTTCCCAAAAAACACAACCAAATTAGGGCTCCAACCCAGAGACTACGATATAAAATTCCACAAATCTCGAAAAAGAACAACTCATATCACGCATTGAGATCCGAGAACAAACTGAGGAAGCATGCAATGACAAAGTTAAAAATTAAACCTCGAGAAGTACGCGTAGTCTTATCCTTAATTATGTTGACTTCGTCTACAAGCGCGAACTCTTGGAACAATGCCAGAATCTGATCTTCAATCATGTGCTTTGGCACTTGACCAACGAACAGCTTCACGCTCTCCTCGCTTTGCTTCTCCTCCGCCATTAATGCCACGAAACTCTCTCTATTGCACTTTCTCTGTCTACAATTTCTCTGCAGAAATGCTTCACAACTATCTCTCTCTAAATTTCTCTACCTAAAACATGTGTCTGTCTTCTTTGTTCTTCTGCTTAGAGTCTTCTCGGGGAAATTGGGGATTTTCAAGATGGCAAAGTTGGATCTTCGTAGAATTAATTATGATTGATGATTATATAAATACCCTCTTATTTCGGTATTATTACGGGATTGCCACTGGGATTCTTGGCCTTTTAGGCTTCAGTTTAACCGTAAAGCCGAAATGGTAAAGTCGGCGATTGACCCTTTTTTTAAATTGCTTCATGTACAAATGTGGACATTGAAAATTGACGTAAATACCCCTGGTTTGAGGGGCCGGGCTATACAAAGTTTTCCCTCTTTTTCTTGAGAATTTTAATTGAAATAGATTTGGCTCTAAATTCGGTCAGTTCCAAATTTTGAAAAGGTTGTCCTGTCCTTTTGCGAAAATTGCTGTCAATGGATGTCAAAATGATCATGGCAGTGTTTTAAGGTTGCATTTTTATCCATCTTTTCATTTCGTGTCAACTAGACGTCATAATTTCGTTAGACTGTTAAATCGACAAATTCTTCCTTAACAATATGATTATTTGGTTGGGAAGCTTTGACAAATCTCCAAACGAAATCTAAGTGTATAATTAACATTATCAACGGCACATGATTTAACTAAACGCACTACCTACTATGTACCACGGGAAAATAATCTTTGAGAATCTTGAAAAAGTGAAATAGAAATATGAAATAACATCCATGGAGCTAAATAAATCCACAAAATCTATGGAGTTTTCGTACTTAGTATGTATGATTAATAAGTAAAAAAGGAAGCATGATACACACGTTGACATCACTCTAAGCTTAGTGCACACTTGGAAAAACTTTATATTTTTAAGTGCCTACAAATTGTAGTCATACGAAATGTGTAATAAATTGTGAATTTTAGAATGCATGAATAAAAGTATGCTTAGTCGATTTAAAATAATAAGTCTCGATAAAAATGTACTTGGTCAAGAACACATAATATCTTATTAGAATTGTTGAGATAGGATGATTAGAAGACAATTGTCACAATTTATCTTCAAATAGCCAAAAATGAACATCAAAAGACAGTTTCGTCTTTGAGACAAAAATAAAAGTACGAAAGTTAGCAAAGCGTGCAAAAGTTCATCCTTTCATCAATAATAATTACTATACTAAACTTTCAATAAGTCTATTTGACTTATGAGATATATTTTCGTTTAAAATTCTCTCACAAAATATTGATTACTCGTTGACCGTTACAAATTCAAGACACTTCAAATTTAACATGGAAGAATCTCTTGTGCCCTTCTTTGCAAAGAGCCCATTGCAGATCTAGGTAGGGAGTGAGTAGAGGTACCAAAATGGGCGATTCATCCCATAAAAAACACGGTCACGACCAAGTCTCGACTTTGTTCGAAAGACATGAGCAGGACTGACCCATAACCCCATGGAATACTACGGTCCATGTCAACCTACCATTGTAATTAGAATGAACCTTTTTATATAAAAAAGGTAACGAGAACTATTTGAGCGTGTTTGTAATGATCTCATCTATAAAGACTATTCCATTCCAAAATACCGTTAAATCAATGGACTTTATCAACATTCATAAAGGATAATCATAGATTGAACTTCCATATCAAAAATATGGGTGATACCATATAGCTTTGTATAGGTTAAGATCGTGAGTTGAAAATAGGACCATTCTTGGTGTACGGAAAAAAAATTTCTGTCAAATTTACAGACCACACACAACACAAGTGGGACCCGCATTTTTTGGAATATTTTATTAACAATGAGACCCACATCCATGTGACACATCTGGTGGAATTCTGTGAAATTTTTCTGTACACATGCATTTTCCCTTGAAAATAAGCAAAGTGAAATTCCCAACATCCACCACAAGATCAATCACCATCTCTTAAGCTCTCAATTGATTCAATCACACACTAAAATTGAACAACTCCTCCTTTCAAATGCAACTTTCAACTTTAAATATTGAATATCAACGTAATTGAATAGTATACTAAATAAGATTTTGATTTTTTTTTTTAAATAATGTCTAATGCCATCTAAATATCTATCAATAGTGCCAAAATGCACGTTCTTCGCACCTCATTTGTCGTATCTACCCATGTGCTGGTGGGTAGGGCCTATCTATCTCTTTTGCTACATTTGCTTGTGCCTATTTGTTTGATTTAGAGTGTATTTGAGTCACATTATTTTGGAAGAATGTATTTTGAAATAGTAGATTGATTGAGAATATATGGTTGAAAAAGAAGGAAAAGTTATTGACATAATGAAAAATATTATTTTATTGAAAAATGTGTGGTTGAAAATGAGTAGAGAATGAGAATGAAAATTTTAAAGTAGCTCAAACATGAGCTTAATTGCTTACTATTGATTTGCCAAACTTCATCCCTAAAAATCTCTCTCCTTGCTAACTAACAGTCTCATATGATTGTTCGAATCCCATGAATCGGCGAATAATTGCTACTCTTGTGCAAAAAGTTATAGAATGCCAAGTTTAGGCATTTTACCCACATTCACTTCAATAAAAGATCACAATCAGAGGGAACTAAAAAAAATACGACAAGGAGTGCCAAAGCATCTCGGTATCTTAAACTCACAACCTTGAGCAGAATTCGGGAATTAGCTCAAGTGAATTGAACTAATTTATCCTCTCTCAAACAACCTTCTTGACTCTTGAGAAAGGATTGGCCGCATGAAGAAGAAATAGTTGTACATAATTATTAGCATCTTGCCTCTAGAACTTAAGAAAAGCGTCATTTTCAACTTATTGATTTTAATTGAAATTTATTTCATTAATCTTATTTGGATAAACGGGAAAAAAGTTTGAAATCCATTGGGTGGTTATATATATATATTTTAAATAATATTTTCATGGTCGAATAATTTGTCATGACATAACTGGATCATAAATGCACAAATAAAGCAAGATAAATAAGAGGTGAGCATTGCAAAATTAAATTGAATGGTACAATCGTAGATATGTATTAAAATGGGGGGTGAATGTTGAGGATGCCAGGCTGTCCCGCCAAGTCACCACCAATCAAAACATTTGCTCTTTGCAGCTTGCAAATTGACAAAAATGCATTCAACCCTTTCCCACTTGCCCAACACCTCATGCTTTTATTAATTAAAATATTTCAAAACTATTCCTATGTTTAATAATCACAATTTCATTGGATAAGTCTATTGCTCTATTTAATATTGACTTGCATATTGAACATTTGTTGGTTAATAATGTTAGTGGAAATTTAAGATAAGTACCGTTATAGTTAAATTACGAGTTCAATTAAATATAGGAATATTGAATATGAAATTCAGTTAATCGGGCTTTTCAATTTGACCAGAGTGCTACATAATTACTCTACTTTGTTGGTTTATAAACTTGTCAAATATACTTATAAGCACAAGAAATATATAAACAAGTTTGCCACCCAAAAAAATTAACTCTTTGGGCCATTTTTTTTTTGACCTATTAAAAATTATCATTTTACCCTTTAAAATTTATAAAAATTAAAACATTAAAGAAGCAGTTTCAGTAATTCATCATATTGATACAGATCACTGCACTTATAATTAAAAGAAAAAAAATTGATAAAGATAGTTTTACTTATTTACCAGAGTTACTGATAGTACAAATTGAATGGGCTATAAGACTGCTTGTGCTTTTAGTGCGGTAAAATTATTTATTTATATTTTATCTTTAATATGGCCAGTATACAAATCAGATTTATTTTTCATCATAGATTATAAACATGCACAATGTTCATAAATTGGTACAGAATACTACAACACAAAGCATTCCCAGAATCCCAGTCCAGGGAGCTACTCATTGTTTCAATTTTTGCCATCATCACCCATTATTGATACCAGCTGGACCTGATATTTTTGGGCACTCTCCTGCCTAGACTCAACTTGTGGGGCATCTCCTTCTGCTGTAACTGACAAGTAGAACTTCGAAATTATTCCTACGTCATAGGCATATGGAATAAAATCAATGAAGATGGTTTCTGTCCCATAAGATTTCAGGAAAATTTCAATTTATTTCATCTATTCCATGTCCTGAACAGGGGACAAGTACACATTGTCATTTTTGGTACCAGAAGAAAGATTTCGAAAAATGACAGATGTATCCACTCTATCAATAACGAGCAAAATTTGGTGCATTCAAGCCAATAATCATTGAGAATCGAACCTGTGATGTGCTCCCTATAATTTTTGTACTAAGCCCCTATTTGACATACATTAAAATTTTTATTTTCATTATTCTACTCATTTTCAAATTTCAATCACATATTTTTCAATAAAATAATATTTTTAATCACATCAATAACTTTTCCTTCTTTTTCAACCACACATTCTCCATCAATCTACTATCCAAAATAATATCTATCAAACACACCCTAAACCCATGTTTTTAAAAGTGCAACTATGTCAGTGGAGGGGTTTAACTGGATCTTGACACCTGACTTCATCTTGGCTGTTGATTTGGCTTCCGGATGATTCCAATGTATTAACTCTTGGGTTTCATTTCACTTGGCACAATGTTCTGACCTCCTGAGTTCTTTTGAAAGAGAGAGTTTACTTTTGTGGCTAGTGTTTTGATCTAATTCTTCTTTTCTCTTGCATGTCTCATTCGAGAACTGAGATCTGTATTGTTAACCTTCGATTCTTGTAATATTCTGAGTGAAATCTGTGAGAACGAGAAGGTTCTTATGGTTGTAATTTCACAAGGCTTGTTTGAAGATTCTTGAGTGATTCTTCGTACATCTACGATTTTGGTTTGAAAAGTGTTCTGTACTTTTTTTTATGTTTGGTTAAACATTGTAGCCCTTGTTGCCAATTTGAGGCTTTATAGTGCAGCCGAGCGATATCCATTTTAATAGACGCTCAACAGGGAGTAG